GACGTCTATTTAAACTTTGGATTTCGTCCAGCAATCTTAGCTAAATATAAAGAATATAAATTTTTGATTACGATAATCTGAAATACTCTAATCATATTTTTGTGATAATATCTGTCTATTATAAGTAGATTTATCAGAAAAAACTAGTTAAGAAGTAATATATTAAGATATTCATGCAAGAAAATTTATACATTCATTTTAATTTCTTTCTCTTGCTAGTTTTGATAACTAAATATAAATAATAATTTTATTATTGTAAATAAATAAATAATAGATTAATCCATAATAATAACCTTTTTATGAGTATAGTCTAAATATGTAATACTTGCTAAATAGTACAATATCCAACCACTTAACTTATTTAGTTTTTTATTTCATTTTAAAGTCTTATATATACCAATAAACTCTTTCTTTCAAGAGAATATTAAGGTATTTTAAATCATTATCAGTAAGTATATGTGGTGTTTTACATAATAAAGGTAAGTTTTATATAATGTTATATTGTTGAAATCTTTTACAGATTAACAAATGATCTTGCTAACTCTAAGGTGATTAGCAATTTGATACTCTGGTAAATCTGCCAAACCATTTTTCAATTATTTTCCAATGGCATTGAATAGAGAATAACATGTTTATTTATTATATATAGAATCATATTTGAAAAAAATTTATTATGATTTTGTATCTGAATGAAACTGACTGACTTAAAAATTTTGGCTTTAATTCAGGAATTATGAAATCAGCTATAATAGTTTATTTATAATAAATATATATATATATTTTTTTTTGATATTTTTTTTTTTCATTTAATTTAAAATTAAATTTCAATTATAATATATCATATTTATATTTAAAGGTATTTTATTTTATTTTATTTATTTTATTTAATTATTTTTTTATAAAGGGTTTTATCTGTCTTAAAAACAATTTTTTTTTATAACGAAATTAACAAATATATATATATATTTTTTTTGATAATATAAGATGCTAGTTGTTAATCTGTATCTAAAAAACAATGATCTTTTTTTTCGACTATTTATTTCAATAATGTTTGGTAAATGTGTTGACAAGCATACCAATGATTAAATTATAGAAACGATGTTTATAAATTATTTACAAGTTTTCCAAATTTGTTTATAAAGAACAATCCCGATTAGGACCGATCTTTATGATTTAAACAAATAATTATTTTTGACACAATCTAAAAAAAAGTAAAATAACGTATAAATACGAGTTAAAAAAAACTGCTATTTTCTTATAGAAAGTCATTCTTAACAATCTATAAGACGACTTAAAAAGACCGATAATCGATCCGTTCGATCCTATGACTGGACCAATTTTCTTTCAATTGTCTTACGGTCTGAATCGGAACCAATCATTATCATTCCTACAATTTCAGTTTTTCAAGAAAATCCCCCAAAGGTTTTAATTTAAGTTCACATCATATTAGTTCGATTAAAAAGACCGCATCGAATATATAAAATTGAAGTTATTCTTTCCTTTCCTTTTTTTAAATATTTTTAATTTCGGAAAAGAATCAAAAAATATGAACCCTGCAAAGAGAAATAAGATTGACCTTGATGTAAGTTTTTTCACTTTATAAAATTCTAAAGCAAAACAGAACTTTTATTTCTTTCAAGTATCAGATTTGATATGTGGGAAAATCTCTGAACTTTATTAAATTGTCTGCACTTAATAATAAATTAATAGAAATTAACAGAAGAGGAGAAAAAACTCTTCCGGATGTATGGAAAGTTGCCAACAGGAAAGGACCTTTTATCCCATAAGTTAAAGGTAACCTTTTGATTTTACGTTATGACGACAGAATTGGGAATTTGAAGAGTCAGGCGTACAAAGTGCTTAACCTTTATTTTGAAAAACTTTTGTTAAATATATTACAATATATTACTTAAATATCAAAATCATTGCATTTGATGATCAATCAAGAAAAGATATTTTGACTTATGAATTATATTATATTCATGTAGGAAAGAAAATACTTTGACTCTGGAGATTATGCTCTTTCTAAAGCTGGAAAAACTTCAGGCCCAGTTGGTGTTCAACACCCTTCTCCTGAAACGATTCCTCACGCCAATGCCATCGCAGCTACTACTCACAATTCTTCTCCTGTAAAAGAAAGTTCTCTTGTACACGAGACTGAAATCGAAGAAAAATCCGGTGAGCAAGATGCTCAAGTTGCCGATGCAGTTACTCAAGTCGCTTCAACCTCCACATTAAATCCAACATCTGTTCCTGCGACTCCGGCGCCAACACCAACTCCGATCGTAACAGAAGGAACATCAATTACATCAAATAATAGTTCAGCAGAAAAGTCAAGCAATAATTCATGATGGAATATAGAATATTTATTTTATTGTTTTTTTTTTTTTAGTTTTTTTTTTTTTTTTATATATACATATATATAGAAGCAGATATTTAAATGTGATAAATGTCGATTGATAATTGGATTTGAATAAAAAGGATTCAAGGCTGAAAAAGTATTCTCTTTCAAATTCATAACTATCATTTTCTTTTGTTCTTTGTTCCTCTTATTTTGACATGTAAAATTGTTCTGTTTACTTTAAATCTTATTTAGGAAGAACAGGTTTTTTTTTTCTTTTTTCTTTTCTTTTTCCCTTTTTTTTTTCCCTTTTTTTTTTTTTTTTTTTTAAGGAAACATTGTATATCTTTAAATTTTTTTTAATAAGAACTATTTTTTTCTTTTTGAATACATATCTAAATTATATCGAATTTTTGGAATATATCGTCTTCTGTAAATAGAGCGAAACACCTTTTTATAAAATAAAAGGGGGTGGAGAGAGATTTATATTTGCACATTTAAAATCGATATAACAAAATTATTTTATTGATATAAATTTTTTTTTTGATTTTAATAAAAAATTGGTTGGTATTAATTATTATACAGTGCTTATTAAAGAATTAAAATCTTATTGCACACGGCATGAACTTTTTTTAAAATAAATTTTTGCACTTAAAAATCTGTGAAAAATTATTTTCCAACAATTTATTAATTATTTTTCTTGGATGATTTTATCTAAAATGAGTAAATTATAGGAATTGAATAAATTATATAAATTACCAAATAAAGGAAAACGAAAAACCGAATCTAAGGTTACGTAGTAAAGCTTTCTTCAATTAAATAAATTAAATTTTCATTAAAATAATAAATGATGATAAATTCTAAAAGAAAAAACTTTAGTAAAGTTATTCAACTTTTGATTGTATTTTAGCTTTGGAAGCAGTAGCTCCTTTCTTGTAAGTTTTCTTATAAAATCCGATAAATAAAAGTAAATAGCTACTCAAAAGCACACATCCAAAAATGGCAGCACTCTCACTTCCGGCGCATGAACCATAATTTGGCATCCAGGGCCAGTAGGTAGCAGTGAAATAAGTGTAAGAACAAAAATACACAAAGAACAGATCAATTATAAATTGAACTATTTGCAAAGTTGTGAGATATTTTTTCCACCAAATCCTTGCTCCTCCCGCAGCTCGGAAATAATAATAATACATAAACACATGAACTAGGAGATTAAGAGTGATTGGAACCCACGACTATAATAATTTGATTCATTTGATTAATATTAATAAATGGATCAACAAAGGAGAAAAATTACGCATATTTTAATACTTTCTTACCACCGAGGTTGTACCTTCCAATTGCGAAAAGCATAAAGCCATCGTCATACTATGATGATAGACATGCAGAAATTCTGAAATAAACCTCTTTATTTTTAATAGAAGTTGAAAATAACTATCATGAATAACGATCGAAATATATATGTAAACTCACCGAGTTCCTTTTTTTTCAAAACTAAAAAGACAGTATCAATTAGTTCCCAATACTTTACTAAATAATTAAGATAATATAACAACTCTAATCGTTGAGTCCAAGCATCATTGTCACATACAGCATAAAAAATTCCATTACGAAATACTATTGGAATTAATTGTTCCGCAAATAGTATCAGAAGCGCAAGCGAAGACAATGTCAACAAAAGATTGTGAACTTGGAAAATAAATCTAAGTTTGATAACTGTCCGATTTTTCATAAATTGTTGTCCCCCAAATACAACAGCAAAATATGTAATACATGCAATTACAACTTCGTATCTGGTGGAAAGTGGGGTAACTCCTTCAGTAAATACGAAATTATTTGGATTTCTCCCTGTTACTGAGGCATAAGCTTGTTTAAAAAAGTCATCAAAATAAATTCCAAAAGGACGTTCTAAGGAAAAGTGCAAAGTCGAGTTCCTCAAAGTATCCATGATTATCAAAACCTTTCGTAAAGAAAAGAAATATATATATGTATATATATATATATATATTAAAAAAAAAAAAAAAAAAAAAAAAAAAACAAAATTTTTTAAAGATATCAAAGGAACGCTTACTTCAAAACTTTATATTTCGTTAATCTAATAATGTTTATAAACCTGATAAAAAAAAAAAAATCATTACCTCAAATACGTTATTTTAATTTATGCTAAATAAAAAAAAACTTACATATAAACAAATTAAATTTTGTGAGAATCTTTTAAAAACCAAAAAGTAAAATAAATTAAATTAAAATAAAAATAAAAATTTTAGCAAAACTTTCAAAGTTTGAATTTCAATAATAATTAAAGTGGCTTATATAACAATAAAAAAAGTGAATCGGTTAAAAAATTTACTTTTTTAAATTTGCTTGCGCAAATTCCGTGGCATATGCTAATAGGTAAATGCAACATAAATACTTTTTGGTTTTGTGGTTGTAATAAAAAATTTGTCGATGGACAACGGATTATCTTTTATAAGAATTTTTCCCGATAAAAAAGGGTATCACAAACAAAGTTGATCTCACATTTTCCACATGTTAAACCATGCAAAGCGTCATTGTTGGGGCTTGTTCATGTGAGAGTTTAATCATGTGATAAAATGATTGCTCTTTTTTTTATAGATAATCTCAAAAAAGGATTTTTGTTGTTTATTTTAAATAAGAAATGGAAAATACTTCAAAAACTACACCCAATCCGACAACTTTTCTCGATTTGCTTAACAATACATACGATGATGCTGATTTAGTTCACATGCTTGCAGAAGCTACTGATCTAACGTCTGCAGCTACCAGAAACTCGTTCGAATTTCAATCAAACTTTGAAGATCAGGGCTTTAACCAACCAGAATCAACAGAATTTCAGAATTTTAGTGAAAATTTGGATCTTGCTGACGAAGATGCTGAATTTGAAGCTGAATATGAAGGAGAAGGATTTGAAGGAGGAATATATTTTGAAAATGATTACGACAATGAGTTACAAACAGATCTAATTTACATGGAAGAAGATATGCTTAGTAGCATTAATAAGGAGGAACTACAAAAAGAATCATTTTTAGATGCAGAAGAAAATGAACAGATGAAAGAGGTTGATGTTGATGATGATGATGATGAGAAATACTTGTCAGACAATTTCGGGTAAAATTTATGAATAATAATAAGCATATTATCTTCTAATATATATGAATTGATTTCAGATAAACATTCATCGAATATTGGTGATTATATAGTCGTCTCCTATCACAAGCTGAAGCTATTGGCAGTGATTTAACCAAAGGAGATTCTGTTCCTCATCTATGGCAAAATTTGGAAAAAGAATGGACCGAATTTAATCATGATTTAAGACTTACTAGTGGGATCGGAAGGATAAAGAAGGGAAAGGTATTCTTTGTTGATATGTGATACTTTTTTAACGAATTATTTTTGTAAGATCCAATTAAATTAATTTCTACAGATCATTGTTCGGGAATGCCTTATTTTAGAAAGGTCCAAGGCCCCGTAGTATTCCGCCAAATCTTCGTACCTTGGTTGGAGAAGCTAATTTACATTATGTAAACAGAGATTACCCAAGAGCAATTGAAATTCTTCAAGAGGTTATTAAAATAGATCCAAATATTCATTCCGCTTGGTTTACCTTGGGAACTATTCAGGATGAGATGGGATGCCCGGAGAAAGCTTTACAATTATATTTAGTTGCAGCTCACTTAACGCCTCACGATGGTGCATTATGGAAGAGGTTGGGTCTTCTAAGCAAGTTAGTCGATTTGTTTTTATATATATATATATTTATTTATTTTGTTCTCTGATAATGAAGATTCTAACTTTCCTTATTCCTTAGAAATCATAATGCAGTTCATCAGGCTATTTATTGTTTCTCAAAAGCTATCAGATGTGATCACAATGATGTGGATGCTATTTGGGATCGATCAATTCTATATTCGGAAATTAGAGAATTCAAAAAAGTATTTCTCTTTTCTACGCTACCTTATGAGTTGAAGTGACTTGTTCAATCAATGTTTATTATGTAAATAATTTTTTTCTTTTAAAGGCGATAGACGGGTTTAATGGCCTATTAGAAAAGATTCCTTATGATATGAATGTATTGCGAGAAATAACTCGTATTCAAGTACAAATGAATGAGATTCCTCAAGCCATTGACCTCTTTCTTGATGCTTTCGCCTATTATAGAAATAAGCCTTTTTCAGAAGATCCTGAAGCTGAAGGAAGTTTTGGATATTCCGAAATAAATATAATGGCTGAGCTTTACATGCTAGCTGGTGATTATAATAGTGCTATCGATTTTATTAAGCGAGGTGTAAGATGGCTGCAGGGGAGAGAAAATGAAATATGGTGGGATTATATAAATGATGATCGCGAGTATGACGAAGAAGAAAATTTAAATAGAAGAGATCATACTTCAATTTTAGCCGCTGCCCGACTTCGTGGTGCTAATAGCACTGGAGGCACAAATGCAACCTTGCCTATCGAACTTAGGGTTAAACTGGGACAATGCAGGATTTCAACGGATCGTCTTGAGGAAGGCAAAGTATGTATTTACCACTTAGTTTTTAATATTTGAATCTTACTTAACTTTTGCTGATACTAAAATTATTTTAATTAGTTACACTTTGCTTATCTTGAGTCTTATGTTGTTGAGCAATATGTAGATTTGTATTATGAAGTAGCTGAAACTTATACAGATAAAGGATTGTTTGAAGATGCTTTGGAAATATATGAAGCAGTCGTCGTTAATGAATCTGTAAATATTTGTATTAATTTGGCAAAATTTAATTAGTAATCAAGCATAATAATTTAATTTTTTATGAATGATAGACAGATAAACCATTTGCATGGATGCGAATGGGAATGAGTCATCGAGAATTAGGAAATCTTGAAAGTGCTTCCGAATATTTCGCGGCTGGTACATATTTTAATTATTCTGTGGTTTGACATAGAATTTTACCTATTATATTGAATTTTTTACAATTTATTATACAATCTATAGTTGTGAAAGAGTTACCAGATAATTTGGATGTTAAAATGGCACTTGCTGAAACCTACGAAGATTTGGACGAAAAGGAAAAGGCGCTTGAGATGGTTAATGAAGGTATTTAATTAATTTTTTTAAAAAAAAATAAACAATACTCTGTGTTAACACTTCACAACGCTTTTCTTTAATAGTTCTTGAAGCGCGCAAAAAAAAAAATATTCAAACAACAGCTGAATCTAAAGTTCCTTCTTCAACATTAAATAAATTTAATGCTAGTTCTTCACGTAGTTTATCAGCAGGTAAATTACAGACTGAAGCATCCTTAATCCAGACAATATCTGAAGAATCCAGAGCTAACGCTTTCGCGAGAGCGGAAGAAGAGCGCAAACTAAATATAGCAGAAAAGGAAAAGGAAACAAAAATTCAGTTTCATAGGTTGGATCTATTATATGGTCGTTCTAAACTTGGCGATTTAGAATCGGCAAAAGAATTTTTGGAAACCGCTAGGAATGTCGTTATTGATTGGAAAAACAACAGAGCCTTTTATCCTCAGAGGGATAGGGTATTCTTCCTTTGACAAATTTTTAAATTCTTTATTGTGTTACTGAAAAAAAATTATATATTTATTTATTATTTTTATTCATTTAAGATGCTTCCGTTTAAGGGATGGGACCGTCGAAGGTCCTGGAGAAAACAAGCGTATTTTGAAGAGTTAGAAATCTCTAATGATAATGATGATTCTTACTTAGATGAACAAGCAACTACAATGGCGAAAAGATTACAATGGCGCATTGGTTGGTACAAACTTGTACAAAAAAATATTCTTTTTTTTTGGTTTAATATTTACCCAAACCCTACTTTAGATGGGGAGAAGGATGAATTAGAAGATGAAATACGCAAAAAAATTACCGAATTTAATGGTATTATTTTCGAGAAATGGTTTGATTTTTTTATCAAGGTTTGTGATAAAATTTGTTCTGCTTTAAAACAATATAAATTTGTTTTATTAAATAGGTTGGTTTTTTAACTATAGTATATAGTTACAGCAACAAAGAATAAATGCGAACAAGAGGCCTTTGATCTACTTAAGTTGGCTGGTAGAGCAAACGTCTTTTTCCATAATATTCATTATACAACTGTACTCAAGTTATTATCATTGGGTAATTCATATACTTTTAAGTTCATTTAATATGTTTAAAGCTAATGTTTTGATATATATTTTTAATATTTAGCGTGGGGCCTTCATACGCGTAATTTTTTGGTTGTATGCGAGAATGCAAGATGGCTATGTAATTATAAACCATTTAATAGTAATTTGTATGATTTATACGGAGCAGGGATGTCTAGGTATTGTAAAGATGGATTATTATGACAGTTTACTTGATTTAATGGGTTAATAATATATATTTATTTATTAAATTAAATTAAATTAAAGCGGATCAAATGCGTTATCATGCTTTGCAGCCGCAAATTCCCAAAAATATTTTCTTCGTCAGGTCAAATTGATGGATACTGGTTTTTATCAGACTCCAATAATAAAAAGTAATTTAGAAAAATCGGAAGATGGGTCGAAACAAAAACATATTTTGAAAAAAGCCAATGTTCCAGAAAAACCGGTTGCATCATTATTGTCACTCTATGGACATATTTTAGCATGTGCCAGAAGTTATGTCGGAGCAATCGGTAATCTCTTATTAAAGAAATGTTTAAGCACAATTTTATTTTCTGCGAATATACATATTTGGTAATATATTTAGTTTGAAAATCTTTTTTATAATATAGGATACTATTCTCGTGCTTATTCAGTTAAACCAAAAGATCCTTTAATTAGTTTGTCAATGGGACTTGCATATATGCATCGATCTATGCAAAGAATAAGTGATAATCGACATTTACAAATTATGCAGGTATAATTTCATATGTTCTTTGAAATTTATGTTTATTTTGTTTGTTGTTATTATTATTATTGAAAAAAAAATCATAATAATCTATTTTATAGGCATTTACATTTTTATATAATTATTATGAATTGAAAGAAAGAAACCAAGAGGCTGAGTATAATCTTGGGAGAGCTTTTCATGAACTAGGTTTATATCATTTAGCAGTTCCCCATTATGAAAGATGTTTAGAGTTACCATCTCTTCAACGAGTTTTTAGTGAGCAAAAAGGAAAGGTATGTTAAAACTTAACTGACTTTTTTATTTCTTAAACTTATTTACATTTGAAATACTAGGGTAAGGCACCTGAAAAAAATTCCAAAGAATATCCTATTGCGAATGATAATGATCCTACGTGCCTTAGAAGGGATGCAGCATATAACTTGTCAATGATATATGTTGAAAATGGATCTCCTGGTCTAGCAGCAGTATTATTGAAAAAATATTGTACTATATAATTGGTGATTTAGGCCAATTTTTTTTTATCACCGAAAACTGAAATTTGTAAATTTTGAATATTTATAGCTCTAATAAAATACAAAGTCCGTCTATTAAAGGTTAAAATGCTGCTAATGTCCGATAGTTAGTGATTTGAATTTCTTATATTTAAAAAAAAATGAAAGTGTCTATTTATCTAGTTAAGTACGGTACGTATTTTTTTGTTCGTTATGTTTCAGGTATAATATCTAATTTCTGATCGTTAATATTGCGTAATGTTTTGATGGTCTGAATATATAAATTTTTTAAAATTTCACTGTCAAATATACCTTCAATAAAAAGATAGTGATTATTCGATTATACTTGGTTATTGTTCTATTTATCACACCCAAACTAAAAATGTCATTTGTTATCCGTTATGTTTCACATAATGTTCATATCACAACCCTTTAATTGAATGTGAATTTATCATTATCTATGACCACCTACGATACCATATACAGAACAAATATTAAATGTTTAGTCACAAATAACACAAAATAACCAAGTACACCAATTCTCTAAAGGAAAAATAATTTTTGTTTAAAAAAAATATATGCATGATAAATTACTTATTTTTATAATTTTAAAAAATTTACCAAATATCACGTGAAATGTCATTTTTTCGCGCATTTTTCAAATTAACCTTTTATAATTTTTATAATTTTTCATCTTTATATAGAGATCGATTTTGAAGATCAACTTTATTCATATGTTTAACAATAGCCAAAAATGTTACATTTTAGGTACTTGTGTTCTTGTAAATAATGTTAATATCAAAAGAACAATAAATATTCCAAAAAAAAAAAAATTTTTTTTTTGCTTAAAAAAGTTTTAAGTTTTTTGTGTCCGCCATGCGAGTCACTCAAACCTTGAATAATAACAATTCTTCAAACATAGTAGACATACAAAATAATAAAAATATTACAAGTAATCCAAACAAATTCATAGCTCCCGCCGAAGTTGACTCTGCAATCTCAGCTACGTTATTTCTGGACACAACTTTGAACACAGACCCTAATTTTAAAATTACAGATTCTGTTGAAGAGCCTTTTGCTTCCGAAAATTCCGATAGTTCTTTCTCTAATTTATATCATCCAATGACAGTTACAACGAAAGCAACGACAACTTCGACAACAGCTACGATTTCAAGACAACCAGATAAAAAACTTAAATATGGTTTTTTATCAAACTTACTAAGTAGCAACAGTTCTTCCCATTCTATATCTTCCACGTCGTCTGGTTTAGATGTGCAAAAGAAAAAGTCTTCAAGTTCAACTGAATCGAGTTCTAAACAAAAATTATTCAAATCTTGGGGAAACGCTCAAGATAATGAGTATAAGAACATAGAAAAAGCCTTAACGAAGTAATATAAAGATTTATTTATGATTCAAAGATAATCGACGAATTATTTAGTTGTCAATTGGTAATTTCTTATATTTAAACATTATAGATTTCAGTCCAAGGATCGTCATAAGGTGGATGTTTTAAAATCGCTAATTCCTTGGCTCAAAAAATATACAACAGGTAAAATAATTTTTTTCCCATTCCTCATTGTCATTTTCTAATATTCTATCAATTATCATTTAATAATTAATAAATACATCTAAGTAAATACAAAAGACAAATTTTTACAGCTTGGCCGAGCCAGTTTGTTAAAATGGTTCGTATTTTTTAATATTTTTTTTTACATATTATTTTTCTTTTTCCATTTTTTAAAAAAAGGAAGAAAAAAAGAAAGATAAAATTAAATCAATAAATGCTTGATATATATATATGTAAATATATTATATTATTTTTTTTTTTTTAAAAAAAAGGTGGAATATATTAATTTCAAATTTACCGAATGCGGCGTATACGGATCGTAGCCTTTATTTTGAATGTATTCTATTGTTAATGACCAGGTATCTATATTTTTTATACCATTGCTGGAAGTTTTTTGATTTATTAGTAACTAACATTTCATTTTTAACAGAAATGAGTTTGAGGATTTTGGCAAGTTATCAAAAAAATGTATTATTTCGTGTTTGATTTAATTCTTATAATGATTAATTACTTTATACAGATCGGATAGGACCAATCCCTCATATGGATACCACAGATACATATATGGATATTCCAATTGATATCATAATAACTTATCGTGCTGCTTTAATGTCAACTTTACATTATGCAATTGATAGACTTAATCAAAAGGGCGTATATTCAAATGTAATTTCATTTTGCGCGCGCGTTTTAGGTAAATTGATTAAAATTTATATAATTTTATTCACTTCATAATCATATTATTTATTCATTCATTTATTTTATTAGCTTTATGTTTCTTTAAAATTCCTGGTGTCGGATTTGCTTTATTGCAGGCATTGCCAGTAAGTAAATCACATATCAAACGAATAATAAAGGAGACAGTTGGTGATGACGATTCAAGGTGACATTGATTTAGATTATGGATAATTTTCATGATTGATTAAAGTCATTAATTTCTTGTGAACGTTCAATTATTCATTAAAATAACAAACAAATAGTATCGATCGTATGACAAAACAGAATGAAAAAATTTCTACTTTGTTTCCTGAACATTTGAAAATTTTATGCTTTCTGAATTTAAAATTATGGTGGCGACAGTTTGAAAATGCCAAACGCATTTGGGGTGAACCACCTATAGAAATGAGCGGAAATTGGATAAGGCGGTAAGAGTAACTTTACGATTAATTAAATAGAGTTGGAAAATCTAGTATTTACTAATTTAATACATTGATAATATAAAGTTGGCAGAGTGATGATAGTGAATTGTTCTTTTCGTTTTATAAACATTATCATATTGTGCTTAAGGCTTACCTCGCATCGCATTTAACTGCTTCCGGATCAGTTAAAATCATGACACCACCGTTTGAGTATATTACTGCACCAGGTTACATTCACTTAGCGTCATTTTTTCTTCTCAAGATCGAATCACTCATACATCGTAATATACATACTATAACGACGGTAATTCAGTTTGAACATCCAAGGGGGAATGGAAATACAAATAACGTTAATCAAGGAAGTAATAATGGAATAACTAATGCCATGAATCCTAATGCAGCGGCTATTGGGATGGGATCGTTATCTACCACTAGCATTAATGGAGTCATCGCATCTAATGCAGATGCGAACGGAAACGTAGCTTTAGGAGGTATGATGAATGGAGTTGCTGCCGGTAGTGGAAAACCTAAAGTTTTAGAAATGGCAGGCCGGAGATTTGTTGAAACCGTGGTTTCTATCGTCGAGATCGGCTTTTTCCAAGAGATGTGTAACATTTGGATTAATGCTGTGGTAACGAAGACAAATATGTATGATGTTGAAGGTGTATTTTGTAAGTATAATTGGCGAAACTTTTTTTTAAAAAAAAATATTTTTTTTTTAAATATCGTTTTCCTTGTAGGTTTATTAGATTTTATTGACACATTAATGTTGGAATTGGAAGCTAGGTATTTATTATTTTTAGATTTAATTGATTTATTATCATTAATATTGCAAGGATTCAAATAATCTTTTATTTTCCGGAATAGAGACAGTATTGTTTCTTCAGAGTCTACATCATCAAATTCGAACAGCACTAGTTCAGATAGTTCATCAAGTCCTCCATTCACCGCACCAAATCTTATAAACATACTCGATATTCCTTCTTATATTTCTCTTTTTAAGCAGCTTCTCGAAGAATCAGATCACACCATTACTATTCTAAGGACAATAAGCTTTATTTATACACATTTTTTTCTTTTAACTTCACAACCCACTTATCTCAGACAATTGGTTAAGGAAATACTTTTAAACGAGGAGATGTTTGAAAGATTATTTTGTCATTGGTCAAGAAATGTGAGAATATATTATATGCGTTTGTTAGTGTGGCGTTTAGGAAGGATTGGAGGCGGAATCGGTAAGCACGAAGACAATAAAGATCAAGAAATTAGTGATAGCGGTGTAATTATTGAAGATAACGAAGAAATAGTGATTGAGTAAGTAAATAAAAATCGCTATAATTTTGTTTTAAATGGTTTAAATTTTAATTTATTAAAGAAATTAAAAAAATTTCACAGTATTTTAATCACATTACAAAGTCGCTTAGATGGTATGCGACTATATCATGAATTTCTATCCAATTATACAGGAGTCATGGAGGATGTGGAACAAGTTTTTAAGGCAGAAATGGCTGAATCAATGAATGAAAGCAATTCAAACCAAATAGAAAATAGTAATAACGAAGAGTTACAAAAACAACCAATAGTTGAACCTCAAAATACTTCATCATCTTCATCTGTTTTGTCTACTTCAACTTCATCTATTTCATCATCTATACCAAACAAAAACCGTAGATCGAAACTGTCATTTATCCCATCCGGCAAAGAAACGATAGCACCTTGCTTTATTCGTTGGATATTTCCAAGTGGATCGAACAAATCTTCCAACTCTAATAAGCTAGAACAGAAATTAAGCTCAGAGACGGTGACGTCACGAACGTCACCAACATCGCCAACGACACCATCAATTCCTATACGCACAACAAGTAAACCAACCGTACAGCCATTATTATGGCGTTATGCTTTTCACAGACATACTTATGCAGGAAAAGCGATTTCCGAGTACGAATCTGTTAATCAAGAATATGCCGAGTGGTGTGCACAAGTTGCAAATATTGAAAGAGAAAATTCAAGTAATGGTAACGGGGTAAATAATATTATTTCCGGAACTAATTCTACAGATTTAATGGCGACACGATTTCCAGGGTTGGTAGTGGAATATCCGAAATATTTTGGAAATGGGTTTGCAAATTCTCCATTGATTTAAGACCCTCACCATTATAAGACATTTGTACATTTGTTTTTTTTATTGTTATTTTTTCAGCTTGTTTTTAATTTATTACTTTATTATAGAACAATAATTTTTTTTTTTTGGTTTTGGTTTTTTTTTTTTTTTTTTTTTTTTTTTTATTATCATTATTATTATTATTATTATTTGATAATATATTTTATTCCGTCTAAAGATCAGCCTTTGCTCTAGGGGAAATTAATTTAATTGTAATGAAAGCAAGAAATATGTATTTATATTATTATATTTATAGACAAAAAATTCTCAAGATCAAAAAAGGTTTTGAAATAAAATATTAACTAAGTTTTGGCCCGCATTATATAATTACTATTATCGGTTTAAAAAGGTTATGAGTTAGAATACATAAAATAATTTTAATCAAAAAAAAAAAAATAATAAAAAAAATGTCTGTAGAACAAGTTAAAAATGAAGATAGTCAAGAACTTGAAGAGCAAGATACCTCTTTGATCCTTGATAACCAATATGTATTTATACAATTACCAAGTGGCAATATAAAAGTTGTTAAACTTCAGAAGGATACGTGAGTTATATCAACTAATTTATGTTTTTGAACAAGTTATTATTATTTCGAATCTAATTATAAAAAAAAATTATTATTAGCACCGTACCTTTAGGGAAATTTGGAACGTTTCATTCAAATGATATAATAGGACGACCATTCGGTCATTCTTATGAAATTTATGATCGTGATAAAGTGAAAGTTATAAAAAATGTGGCATTTTATGAAATTGGTAAATTAAAAGTTCATCGAAGCATTAATTTCTCATTTCGCGTTATTTTTTTTTTTTTTTTAGTTGAATAAAATTTATTCCTACTTTTGATTTAGATGAAACCAGTGCTAACAATAAAGAAATATTAGATGATCCGTCTAAACAAAAATTATCTTATCAAGAGATTGAGAAATTAAAAAAGCAAGGATTAGAAGGACAGGCGAGTTATATAAAAGTTAAAAGGCAATATTTAATTTTTTGACGGGTTTTTATCTCATCATCATATATTATTATCTCACTAGGATATTATCAAGAAAATGGTAGAAAGCCATTCAGCTTTTGATCAAAAGACCGAATACTCCAAAGCAAAATATATCAAGCGAAAGGAGGCAAAGTAAATTATATTAAAGTTTGTTATTTATAGCCTTTTCATTTTTTTCACAAATTCTTAATTATCTATTTTATTTTAAAGATTTTCACGTGTTTTCACACCGGTTAGACCTACATTGTATTCTGTTTGGGAGTATTTTTTCTCGAAAAATCCCGGTAAAATAAGGTTAATAAATAGAAATAAATATAATTTGGATTTGATATTCGTTAATAGCATTATAAGATATTCAATTCAATTTTATGTTTAGGGATATGAGAATTGATACACTATCCCAGATATTAACTTTGGCCAATGTACGAGCCGATACGAAATTGCTTGTGGTAGATGACACACAAGGACTTGTTATTACAGGAGTTATGGAGAGATTAGGAGGTTTGTTATGTCGAACAATTTTGAGAGAATCTTAAAAAGATGTTTATATATATAATAATTTGAGATGTTTTTAAATAGGTTATGGTACTATACTTGGTATTCATGATGGTGAAAATCATAATTATGATATCGTGAGGTTTATGAATTTTTCGAAAAAGGTTAACGATTCATTAATAACATTATCTTGGCAACAAGTATTTAAAGAAGAGGCTCAAGGTAATATATATATATATATTAACCTTATAACATTATAGAACCTTTTGTTCAAATTATTTTTTTCTTATTTTCTTTTTTTTAGCATCATTTAACTATCAAGATGAATCAACCTTATCGGAAAAGGATTTAAAATATTATCTTCGAAGAAAAGCAACTTACGAACGAATAAGAGACGCGAGAGAAATTCTATGGAAAGGGAGATTTGATTGGTAAATTATTTAATGCTTTTTATTTTTATCTTATTAATTTTTTTTTTGTCTCATATTTAAATTGTGCTAATTTACAACTAGAAATTTAGTTTGATAATAGCGAGTCAATATCAACCCGAATCTATTCTAGAAGCACTGATGCCTTATTTGTCTGGATCAAGACCAATTATTATTTATCATATTAATAAAGAGGTTGGTAATATTCTAAACTTTTATTTCCCTATCGAATGAAATAAATTTTCATCCTTGTTTAATAATTGTATAGATGTTAATTAATGCGTGTGTATACATGAGGATATCTAAAAAGTATTTGAACCCACAAATTACGGAAAGCTGGTTGCGTCAATATCAAGTAATTATTTATTACATATCATAAAATTTCATAATTGTTTCTTTTAATTGAGCATTTATTGTTATAGGTTTTACCGGGAAGAACTCATCCTTCGATGTCAACAAGTGGGGGTGGAGGATATTTATTACACGCGACTCATATAATTATTGATGAATCTCTTCCTAAACCTATACCTTCTTACATGAAACAAAAGGAACAAAAAGATGCTTTGGAGGGAGAGGATCAATCTTTTGATGATAATACCATTTCTTTGACTGATCAAAATTCGATGAATATTAATGAAGAAATTTTAAACCAAAATGATATAACTAAAGATAATTTTAATATTAATGAGGAAGAATTACATCATTTAGATAACAAAAGAACTAAATTAGATTAAATTTTTCGTAAAATATTTATGATTTGTGTTTGATCGATCATTTTTAATTTTTTTAATTTTTTAATAAATTTATAATCACCAGAAGATTTAAACGGTCACAACGGCTCATGATGATTCTTTAGAATTACAGTTTTGCGATAAGTTTTCTTTCATGTCTCACTTATAAATGGAAATAGACTTTCAATTATTTTTATAATAAGTTACGCAAAAATTTACATAATCATAATACTTGATTTTATGTTTAACAAATATATATATCATAAAAATCGAAAAACAACGCTTTGCTTTGTTATACAGTACGTATCATCGTTAGGCAAAAATCCCTCAAGCCATAGAATTTTTATTAATCTTACCAGATAATTATTATTTGGAGGAAAACTTATAGTGCGCTTCCCCTTATTCTTCTAAACGTACATGGACATATTAAATGTATTTTTATTTTTATACCTTGAGACAAACGAGATTTATTATCTGAGTAAACCATTAAGGTAAAACTGAAATAAAAATAATTTTTGGGGGGGGGGGGAGGTATAAAAAAGAATCACATTGTAGGTTGTTTTAACAAGTATTCTTTTTTTTTTTTTTTTTTGAGGGAAAAATCCGGGTTAGTTTATAAAGCAAAGCAAACCAAAATTTATAATTTTTTTTTTGTCATTAACATACCTTCACATAAACTTTTTAAACAATCTGAACAATCCGAGTCATATTTTTCACAACCACAACCACATATTTGCACACCATCTTCATCCAAGGTGACGGTGTGTTCAGGTTGAATAGGTTGAATGATCTCGGGCGAAAAGGAAGAACAACACGAATATTTTGGACGACCTGGTTGAGAAACATTATTATAAGAATCTCCTACGTTGACTCTTTCCGCATGAGCATCACAACCTTCACATTTACATCCTGAACCACATCTACAAATTGGCATCACCGTTGTAGAGTTACTACTTCCACAACAACTTCCATCAGTCATGGCAGAAGAACAACTTTGAAATGGTTTATAGATTATATGGACCAAATCAGCAGAAGTACTATGACAAATTTCTTCACCTAGAACACCACTTTGATCATGAGACCTCAAATCTATATCATCATCTTTATTATTATCTGAATATCCTTGCTCTAATGAATTTTGACTATAAGGCCTTGTAAAATGGCTATTCATATGTGAATTGTTTCTTCGTGCGAAAGAAGGATAATTATTTCTTGAATGCGTCCCATCATTATTATTAACGTGATGAATTTCCCAAGAAGATACAATAGGAAGTTGCGAGTTATGATTTTCAAGTGAAGAGGGGATTGGCGGCAACATATACCTTGGAGTTTGAGCCGATGATTCAGTGTGATTAGCATTATATTGTTTTTCAATGGGTCGACAACAAATACACTTTGCTCCAGTTAGACATTGACATGGGTTCAACAATGCACCCACCGAAGTCTTATCCTCTGAAGTAGACCCATTATAAGAACTTTGATTGTCAGTGATATAGTCTCTATTGGGAATTCCTTGTGGTAAAATTGAAATAGCTTGAGGTTGTGGCAAATGTGCTAAAAAAAAAAAAAAAAAAAAGAATAATACATTCATTAGTTAATTGATCATTTCTTTGAGAAAAAATAAATAAATATAATCAAGCAAAAAAAAAATTACAAACATTCTTCCTTTTTCCTTTCGACACAATTACATTTCACATGAACTTTCTGAGTTTTACGAAGTTCACGACAATGTGAACATTGGGTTATAGGTCGACCTTTCCTTTTGATAACAAAAAGTGGTCGGTCAGAGTGTTGACAAGCGGTAGAACGATGACCTTTAATGCACGTTGCACTATTTTACAAAAATAAACAAACTGTTCAAAGTATAAAAAAAAGCAACCGTAAGAAAACGCAAAAATAAAAAAAATTTAAAGTACCAAGCGTATTTAACACCATCAATAAAAACCATTTCTACAGCAAACCCAGAAGGGCGCTTTCCGTACTAGGAAGGTTAAAAAAATTATACTATACATTAGTCTCAAATAATTATAAGAATAAAAAAATTTCGATATATTTATTATTTATACCTAAAGTTTGCAATAATAGAGTAATTTTATTTTTAGAGAAGCTTTAATATTAGCAGTTTCTACTTCCCTTTCTCATGAAATGGCTTCTGCCGACAGGCGTGCCAAAAAAGGCAAATTATTCTTGTCAGTTGAATAAGCTTTATAAATAGTAATTACCTACATATCTAATTATTACTAATTAATATACGTGAAATTACTGCGCCCGGTTGACTGTATTATAATTTTAATTTATTAAACTTCGAAATTAAAATGGATTCTTTATTTTTTTTATATGCATATGTAAGTAACATTTATGCCTTTAAGATTCCTTTCGCATCCTTTTATTATTACAATTGTAAAAGCAATTTATCACAAAATGTCATAGAAGACCTAAACGCAGACCCATTCAGAAAAAGAATGTTTAATTCGCTAACAATTTTTTTGAAAAATTATGATTTGAGCTTGACCAATTCTTTAAAATTATCGAATATTCCAGCAGACCAGTTATACAGTAACATCATTACCATTCATGTTTGATTACTTTTATATACCTTATTACCAATTTCCTTTAACATGTTACCATCCCAATGGATCCAGCAAATTCTAATCACAATAGAACATTATCCCAGGGTTGTTAGACCGGCTATCATACTTAATCCTAAGAAATGTGTAAAAAAGCATATTAATAAACTGTTAGCAGAAAAAGTAATTAAGAGTGATGATAATAAGATAAGCTGTTAGTTAAGCTTAAACATAGGATAATAAAACATATATATTTTAAAGTTGTCGAAGTTCAATTAATAAAAATTTGATTCTGATTACTTTTGTTATCCATTATAACATTTGATAATAAGATAAGAAAATGTTAATAGAAAGTGAATTCATATATTCTAAATAAAATACCATTTATTTGTCATTGATTTTTGACATATTTATCAAGATTTTAAATAGTTTTTGTGTAGCTTTAAGGTATTTATAAATAATTTTTAATATTTTTAAGGCAGAAATCTTTTTGATGTGTAGTAGTTAGTAGTTTTTTTATATAATATGATATTTTTTTGCAGCTTTAATAATATATTTTCATAGATTTTTCTATATGAAGTTTAGCTTTGATTTAAAATTTAAGTTTAGAAAAGTAGTATAAATGAGTTAAATTATCAATATATATAGACTTTATTACTAAATTTATATTTATTAATTATTACATATTTAAATAAGAATTATAGATTTGGGATCATTATCCTATTAGAATATATAGCATCTTCTTATGATAGAGTTTATATTATTAAAAGGTTTGTTTCTATCTATTATTTCAGTAAAAAGAAGTAGGTAACAATTTACTCATAACTAGGTTGCAATATATATATATATTGCAACCTAGTTATGAGTAAATTGTTAACTACTTGCATTAAATTGTTACCTACTTTGAGTATGCTGTTACCTATTTATATAATTTTGATGCTCTGTGGTCTTTTTATTACTTTGTAGCTATCCGCTTGTTTTCATTGCTCTGTGGTCTTTTTATTGCTTTGTAACTATCCGCTTATTTTCATTGTTCTGTAGTCTTTTTGTTACCTTGTAGCTATCCGCTTGATTTTATTACTCTGTCCTCTTTTTATTATCAAGGAACTATTCATGTGTTTACAATGCTTTGCGTTCTTTTTGTTTCTAAAGAGCTATTCGCTTGTTTTTCTGCTTCTGAGCCTGTTTGGTAGCCTGTTAAGATATCGAGGATGCTTCTTTTTTGCACCTATTTAGTTGCCTTTTAAAATATTGAAATGGTGTAAAAAAGAGGTGATGGGTAGCGCAATAAATTTGTGATTAATTTTTGCCAGCTCTATGCTATAACTCTGACCGATCTTTTGGGCATGTGATTTAAGGATCCAATTTGATGTCGTGATAGTGTCGTGATAGCATCCTGGTAGTATTATAGAACTCTCCTGAAACTGTCATGGAACTGGCAGGGAGCTAGAGTTTCTATTAATTCACCAGTTTTATGCCAGTTTGGATATCAAAATATTATATCCAAAGTTCTGGTTGAAGTTGTGAAATAATGTTGGCTGAAATTAAGCAAATAAGTCTTACACAAAGACTATACTGTAGCCGAATACATATATAGAAAGATGGAGCCTTCTTCCAATTTTTTATATATAGATTACGAAGAAGATTCCACTTTCAGATACATATCTACTTGTCTCCCTTTTACAATTTGCTTACTAGCTTGCTATATGTCTCTTTTTTGAGGGATGAAAAAATAAATGCGTCAGCCTTTTCTGATGGTAGTATTCATTTGCTCTAATTTTTTTTGCATGTGAATCACAAAATCCATATCCGCCTCTAGTCCATTCCTCGCATCCGAGTTGTTTACAAGAAACTTGCCATATCTGATACATACTAAGTTAGGGTATTCTTCTGCCAATATTTATATAATAGATTACGCAGAAAAATACCCTAAATATTACCTATTAGGATACATACTAGTGATAGAATAGCCTCTTCCAATATTTATATAATGATTACGGAGAAGGCTATCCTAAGTATCACCTATTAAGAATATGTTTATTTACGATTAGCTCACTAAGTTCAAATGAAGCCTTCTGCCATTTTTATATAATATAATTCTGCAGAAGGCTTCATGTCACATCCGACTACATACTAGTGATAGGGTAGGTAAGTGCCAATATTTATATAATAGATTACGCACTTACCTACCCTTATATTTGCCTATTAAGAACATGCATATTCCCATTTTTTTACCATCTTGTTATACATCTCTTTTTACAACCATCAAAAAAAAAATAATTAAACATTTCCGATTTATATAAAGTTATATAATTCCTTTCAAACTGATAACATATATACACTAATTATTTCTAACCAAACTGATCATACTGGATTTGGCCTAACGCTCGCCCGCTATGACGGCACTGAGTCTGTAGCTAGTATCCCATCATGTAATGATATTGTGGCTATAGTTGCTTAACGAAACCTCAGAGTATTAACAACTGTCGAATGTCGAAACCTATTTAGACATTTTGACTTTTATTTTTAAAAGTCGAAACTGTCGAAAGGTTAAGACAATGTCGAAAGGTTAAAAAATATTGAAAGGTTTAGACATTGTTAAAAGTATAGTTGCCTAACAAATTTTAAGGTTTTGACAATTTTCAAAAATTGAAATATATTTAAACCTTTTTTTTTTAAAAAATAATGTTAAAATTGTCAAAAGATTAAACAATGTCAAAAGGTTTAAATAATAACTAGTATTATTTTTAACATAAAATCATTAATTATTATACTCTTTTATTTACTATATAAAAAAAATACAATAATTTTCAAAACCCTCTGGATCAGAATCCTGGATTAAATGAATCAGAGGTAAGTAATTTTGTTTATGTTATTTGTTATTTAAAAAAAAACAAAATTAATATTTTTACTTACCTTTTTGTAAATGCCGAAAATCACTCCAGAATCCTGGAATTAATCAAAAGTTAGTAATTAATTTTTTTTTTTAAAATAATTAAATTAAAAAAAATTTAATCTTTACATTTACCTCTTTTTGTAGGTTGTCAAAATCCTTTGGATTCTGGAATCCTGGATTAAATAAATCGGAAATAAGTATTTTTTTAAAAATATTTTTAAAAAAAAAAAATAATAATTTTTTTAATTACCTTTTTTTATAGATGCCGAATATCCACTCCGGAATCTTGGAATAAATGAAAGGTTAGTATTTTAATATTTTTTTTTAAAATAATTAAAAAAAAAATTTTTTTAATTTACACTTACCTTTCTTTGTAAATTTTTGAAGCCCAGAACCTGAAATCTAGATTGAATAAATTGGAGGTAAATAATATTATTTATTATTTAAAAAAAAAAAAATTTAATACTTTTACTTACCTTTTTGTAGATGCTGAAAGTCCACTCTGGAATCCTAGAATAAATCAAAGGTTAGTAATTTAAATTTTTTTTTTAAATAATTAAATTAAAAAAAATTAATCCTTACACTTATCT